TATAATTTAACCTTACGACTCTGACCTGGAGTGTCACCAGTGGGTGGCTTCTCCTTCATATTTTTCTGGCTGTAATCTTAATTTGTTAACACTTAAGCTTATTATACATAACTTGTATAGATTGTTTAACTCAAATAAAAAATCAAAAAAAATCTAAGATTTAAACAAACGTTTTTATTAAAAAATTATATTTTTAAATATTTTTCATCCTTATCATTTTTTAAGTTTTTTACTTTTTTGAACGACAACATAGAGTTTTAATTTCATATTCCAAAGTAGAATATTTTTCTAAGTATTTTGATACATAAAAATGGAAATTAGGGCTAGTAGTTTGTGAGTTATAAGTATTTAAAGTTTTGACAAGCGGAGTAGTGGAAAAACATTTTGCGGGGTAACCCCGTACCACTCCACTCTGCCAATCAAAGCTTTAAATACTTATAACTTGTAAACTATTAGCCCTAAATTCGATGTTTATGTATAAAAATATTCTGCTTTGGAATATGAAATTAACTCTATGTTGCCATTCAAAAAAGTAAAAAACTTAATGATAAGGATGAAAAATATTAAAAATATAATTTTTTAATAAAAACGTTGGTTTTTTAACTTGAAACCATGTAAAAATAGTATTTTAAAAAAGTCAATACTTTTTTAAATAATGAGTATTCTTTGATAAAATAATCATCTTGTATAGGTCTGACGATCAGTGGCGTAATTAGGAATTTGGTGTGAGGGAGGGGGGTATTATATATTTTTAGCTAAATCTGTAACTAGAGTTAGCCTCATACAGTAATCTGCCCACAAAATATAGATAAGAAAATAAATGTTTTGAGGGATTTACTCCCCTCATCAATCCCTTAATTACGCCCCTGCTGACGGAAAATAACACATTATTACTATTAATGTTGGTTTGAAACGATATACCAAAAAATAGAAATGATTTGGTATACCCAAAATCAAAATGGTACAGTATATCGAAATGTTAAATAAAATCTACTGATTATGAACCGATATTTTTTGTACTTTATAATATTGTTTCACACTATTCACAGAATCTATATTATTAATACTAGAAACAGTAAGCACAAAAACTTTCATTAATAATTATTTTATATCTAATTAAATTTTAATAAAATTCTCCTGCAATGTACTGCATTCCAATTTTTTTTAACAAAAATATGTAAGTAACTAGTTCAACAAGAGGATTTATGTGTACTTATAATACAGCTTGAATATTTATTTTATGGGTATCTTTATTAATGAAAATACATTGTTACAGTATAAGTTTAAACATAAACATTAATACATTTTGACCAAAGTAACACACGGTAGGTGCTCAAGTTATATTTATTTTAAAATAACTGGCCTAAATTATAATATTTTACTACTTGAGTGTGTATAACACTACTTAGTACTTTATAATACAAAATACCTAAGAGGATAAGTAACTCATGCTGTAACAAAAAATCTAAAAAATGTATAAATTCAGAATTTTTTTAGTTTTAAATTTGGACGAAAAATAGGTATTTAAATGCAGAATAACAAYTTTAGTTATTTTATTGTAATTTAAAAATTTTAATTGAAGGTACTCAAAAAATTCAAATTACATTATTATATTTTATACACACAATAATGTTTACAAAATGCAATATTTTMACAAAAATTAATTCAACATTGAACCTATATTTATTACTAACTGTAAAATTATTTATTTTAAATTCAATGTCATAAATATAGGTATTTATAAAATAGGATGATAAATTCAGAATTGCTTTTCTATTCAACAATTTTATATTTTTGAATTGATTTTATCCTTAACAGTGACCTCCACAAAATGTAATGTACACCAGGACGGTATCCCCTTACCAAGTGCCAATCTATTTTGATAAATTATTAAATACTAATCCAATCATTAAATACATATTATGGTCATAAATTCATAGAATTGAATTATTTTATTCACTCCATGTAGTTTTTATTACAAATTACAATAAATTTCAATTATCGCTTAAGGATTTATGAGTCCACAAAAACAAAAGTATTATAATATATTTGAAACATTTCCTTTCAATTGTTCTTGATCCTGAAGATATTTATTTTTAGAACGTTCCAATTCTTTCACCCGGCTTCTTGCATGTTCAAGACGGTGCCAAGCCATTTGGAGAACTTTTTGTGATGCATACCCACTATTTTCATATGGCTGTCCAGTAGATACTTGAGTCAAGTAATTAATTTGTTCAGTTAATTTTGACTCTACATTACCCAAACTTTTTAAGAACTGGTGTGATTGATTCTCTACTTGCTTCAAACTAGATTTTTCCTTACTAAGTTCCAGAAGTGCTTGACCAGCGCTTTGTAGACATGTTATTATATCCTTTTCAATTAATTCCAGAGCTTGAATACGTTCCATTGGCGCAGCCATAATGAAATAAAAACTAGAAAAATAGTAATTAAACTATACAAACAAATAAAATTACTACGTTCATGAACTTACTTACTGATTTGTAACTTTATATATTATTCAATAAGAAAATGAACGAAATTGTTGTAATTTGTCCAAGGGTTAACCAGTTTATAGTCTGAGAATTTAAAACAATTTTAATAAACAATTTATCTTAAAAGTTAATGAACATAACTTTAGGTTCTAAAGGCTAAAAGTTAAAATGTATCAACTAATAAATATCTATTTAAACAGTTCATCATTATTCTGTTGATCAATTATTTATATACGTAAACTAATAAGGTGAGAAAAAGATTATGTTATCACAATACGGACCAAAATATTATTATAGAAATAGAGTGGTATTGGGCAGTTGAGTAGATAACAGTAAAATTTATTTCATGGAATACTAGTTTAATCTTATGGCCAGTGCTTCTCAACCTACTTTCTTACGAAACCATAATAATTTAGACCAGCAGCAGCAGTTATTGCTACTCGATTGTAGGATTTTCGTAAAAGTAACTAATTTATTAATTTAAAGTTTAAACCTGTATTTACTATTTAGTATTATGTAAATTAAATTTGAGAATGAGACTATTTTCATGATTATTTTGCTTATCGGTGGTTTTTACACTTTCAGAATAATTCTGTATTATATTATTTATATATTATATTATATTACACAAGTAATATACCTATGTATAATATGATTCTAGATCGCGTCATAATATTTCATAATGTCGAATACTTATATCTTGAACATGAACAATGTAAATAAACAATTTTCATTTTCAATTCTAATAATTGTATAAATTACCTGAATGCAAGTTTGTTTTGATTACAGGGCTTAGCATTTATTATTTATTTATTTTTTCTTAAACTATAATTTTAACTTAACGAGTAATGTAGGTACTTCGGTACTATACCGGCAAAGCCGCCGCCTGTAACAGAAAATGAATTTTGGGGACTCAAAATTATTTATAATATTTTGGATATTTTACACAAAATGTTTGCGTTCAAAATACAAAAGTATTTTCTACTTTTAAACATTTCAGACCTGTAAATCCCTAAATTTCAATATTTCTAAGTTGTAATTGAAACTACAATATTAGTGTTGAGAAAAAAAATATATAAACAATTGTAAAATATTTAAATATTGGCAAAATTTTGGGAGAAGGGTCCGGACTCTATTAGACCCCGCTCAGGATATGGCCCTTTTGTCCTGGTACCATATTCTAATAGTACACACAATGAATAATGATCATTGATCATTGAAATTTGATCTTAGACAAATTTATAGAATTTTACAATAATATTATGTGTTATGTGTACCTATACTGAATTATGTACAGATCCAAGTGATCCAAACGAGTTAAAACATGCTATTAAATCGAAATATCTGAAGAAAAAATGAAATAAATACAAAACAAGAATTTACTTTGAATATGACGTCCAATATAATTTGTAGAGATAAACTAGAAACAATAATTAAACCTTTATGCCCGCTTCACATGAATAATAATAATTTTCCAAATTTTTTAGTTTTTTTTTTCAATAAATATTAATAAAAATGTATTTGTAGGGTATAAAAGCTTGAAAATGTAATTCAAGACACCTAACATATCGATAGTAGTTGAAAAATATTAAAAACAAAAAGTCAAAATTTTTTTTAAGCATTTAAAGTTCAAATTTTGACTAAATACGTAAAAATTACGGCAATTGTCAAATTATCTTAGATAGAAATTCATAAAAGTTTTTCTTTTTAGATCTAAGATTTGAAAATGTAATACAAGGCTCTTAACATAATTTTACAATAGCAGTTGAAAAATAAAAGAAATAGATATTATTCACAATTTTTTTTTACAAGCGTTCAAATTTTGAATTTTGACAACATACGTAAAAATCACGAAAATTCGCAAATTATTTTAAGCTAGAAATTCATAAAAAAATTTTATTTTAAATCTAAGATTTGAAAATTTTTAAGAGGACGCTACACCAAAAGCGAAACGCATACAACACAACGGCCAAGAGAACGCGCGATGCGCAGGCACGTGGCGTTTAAGCCACGCCCACTACTCGTAATCAGCGGTCGGCCGACAATAATTGTGCTCATTCTGGAGTGATGTTTATTATTTTCTTAACCTTCGTCATTGACGGTACTAGTGAATATACGGTGTGTGCATATTACGTCGCATTGTCACTGTACCTACACGGCTTGTATTCATAGGCGCCAAGTACATGGGTGCTCGGGTGCTCGAGCACCCATTGAAAATATTCATTGRGTGCGGAGCACCCAATATAATTAAAATAGGTAAACCGTTATCACCACGTTCATTGTATGATATCAGTGGCTACAAAGAAAAACCACAGGATATAAAAGTCTATTTCATCTATAATTCTGTGGCAAAACCTCGGAAGTCAAAATTAGAAAAAAAAAATTGGGGGTGGGTACAACCCATTACTCCCTCCCCGCCAATGCTTGCGCCACTGTTGTTTTACATTGGTAAGAGCACCCAATAGCTTTTTGAAAACCTGGCGCCTATGCTTGTATTTATTGCATTATTTCAATTTTCAATACATACTTCATAAAAGATATATTCAACACCGTGAATAATATCTAATTTATAACTGTAACCCAAACTTGTATTACCTTAAATATTAGTTTTTAGATTCTGAATCAATAATATATCCTAGACCAGCGGTTCCCAAACTTTTTCCCATCGCGGCACATTATTATTAGTTATTATAAGTCACGGCACACTTTGGATAAATATTATCTATACATATACTTATCGAATAATACGTATAGATATTAAAAATATTAATATAAATATTAAAAATAAGAAACGTGAACGACTTTTATCAGTTGAACAAGAAATTCGGGTGTGTTTATCGTCGATCCCACCTAGAATTGAACTATTATGCAAACACATCATCAAGCACACGTTTAACACTAAAATTTACAATTATATTTTTTTTTGTAATTTTAAAGTTAATTTTTTATTAATTATTTTTATTTGTATTATATATTTTATGATTTTTTATAAAAAAAAGTTCAAGTTGTCGCGGCACACCTTTCATATTTCACGGCACACCCTTTGGGAAACACTGTTGTAGATAGTAGTTCAGCCGGCGCCCGTCATAGTACAACGACCAGTAGGTTTAATCATTTTTTAATTTCCAAGAATAGGAATACCTACTTTGTACGGTCGGAAATAATCATTAAAAAAAAACCCTGTCTGCAATAAACAGTTTTTGCAATCGTACGCATTTGTAAGATGGTGACAACACATGCAGGTATCACTTCCCCTTAATATCTCCACAGTCCATTCACAACCCCAATTCTGAATACGCGTCGTTCACATAATCATGAATTTTATTCTGGAGGCTGATTTTATCATATAACTTTTAAGATAATTAGTTTTGTGTTTTTTCTAGTTAAATTTGTTGTGTTGTAGGTACATAATATCAATAGTTGAACTATAGTAGTATTACTAGAGCAGTAAGAGCTAAATCATAAAATTAAAATAAAGGTCATGCGTCATACAAACTAGGGAAATTACGTTGTCCTCGCGCATACAAATTTAACGAATATATCATAAAACGCGTGCAAACGATACTTTAGGTATGACCACGCGTCCATGTAAAACGGCCCTTAAAAATAGAACAAGAATATTATTTTATAGTGTAAGTATATTTATTTTTGTCATCAACATTAATTACAAGTCTTGATTGAACAATGTCACTAAGACATTTTGTACAATCGAAAATAGAACATTCAACATAATGATTAGTACCAATAACAATGTAGCACATTTTCTTAAACCACATAAATTATAATAGTCGTACATTTTAAACACAGTTAAAATACAAAACACAAGTTATTGCTATGTACAATAATATTAATGAGATTGACTAATTTGTTGAAAAAAATACTATTGTACATGTTTTTAAATTGACTTTGGTTGCCGTAGTTTGGAAGCTTTTGTATATTAATTTACTAAAAACAAAATACATTGGTA